CTCTCTCTCTCTCTCTCTCTCTCTCTCTCTCTCTCTCTCTCTCTCTCTCTCTCTCTCTCTCTCTTCGTCGTTGTCTTCTGTGCAGGTACTCGGCACCTCACTCCGCAGCACAGCTATGGCGGATCTTCTCCGAAGGTGAAACTTGGCTATGGCTCCTAACTGGCGCGCACATCTCCTTCCCGCTGGCAACGACGATGGCGCGTGGGGTAACGGGAACCAGCTCCGATACCAATGCAATCAGACTCGCTTTCTTTTCCACTTCGCATACATGCAAACCGATGGCGATTCACATTGGCGCAGAGCGCCCACTCAAAGCTCAGAGATATGGAAAACGAGAACACAGTTCAGATGCAAATTCACTTCAACAGGCTATGGCGCAGCGGCCCCTGCACACCAACTCTTGTCACTGTGTTCGGTACCACTGTTTACACATACTCCACTCTGGATCCTTCTGAATACTCCCACGCACACACACTCTGCCTATCTTGCTCCTATCGCGGCTATGGCCGCTCTATCTCTACTGACTATGGCTAAGATCTCACTCTTCAGCCCACTTCATCTTCGGGCAACCTGCAGACCACCTTCGCACAAGACGCTGTGGCAGCACTTCCGCATGGCTTACGCAGCGAATGAATGAATGCTGGAGGCTGCCTCTTGATTTTCACTTCTGTAACTCGTTTGTCTGCCCCTTTCCACCAGGCCCTTGGTGCACACAGTCCCACATGGTACTTGCTTGACTGGACTGCGCCTGACTGGGACTGGTACCGCTGACTGCACGGGGTGGCACTGCCAACTCAATGCAGCCGCATTGCAGACTCAGTGCCATTGGGCTCACCGCTTGCCCACTTGCCTCAGACTAAACGTGAGACACTTTTGAAAGGCCACTTCCGGACCTTCCGGAAGTCTGTGGACTTGGCCTTTCGAGTACTGTAGCAGCTACGACCTTGACCCTTCAGGACTATAGCAGCTACGACCTTGACCTTTCAGGACACCTACAGCTACACGGACCTACGACAGACATCAAACAACTACCAAAATACAGGTCGCGGGTTCAAACACTCGGTGGTCAACTCGATACTGTACATGGGCAAGGTAGGGTCTGGGGATTGAACTCTAGTGCCCGCATCTGTGACTGCAGATAGGTGAAAACCGTTTCACAATGTTACTGATAGAATAATTGGAAGTGATGCAAGGAGGTTGGATGACAGCAATGGCAGAATGGTAAAGCGTATATCGTATGGTGATTAGGTTCATTGAGGTGGCAAACGCATGTGGTCCTCACTGTGCAGGATTACAGGTGGAAGCTTTCACTGAGTGCGAAAGAAGACTGCAGAGCACTATCCCTATCGAAGCCTTGGCCTCAGTTGCGCCCACGACTTTCTGTGACTCGCTCTTTTGCATTCCCTCAATGCCTTCGCCTGGGTATGGTGTTTCTCACTTCGTCTCTTCCGGAACTCCTTAGCCATTCTCTCACCCATGGAGTTAGTGCAACTTTAGTCTTTAGTGCCATTTTACACACACTCATTATATGTGCCGGTTTTCGCAAAAGTGTCATTTCCCTTTTTTTGTTCTCTTTCCTTCCCCTTTTCATTGCAAAAATTCTGCGAATGAAATGTTTTGAAAATTCTGCAGGATGCAATTTCATTCCCTTAACATCATTGAGTGAAAGAATTGGACATGTGCAGCTGAGAGCTTTTTTTTTTTTTTTTTTGGATGTTCCACACCCAGAATATCCACTTCTTTTTTTTCTTTTCTTTTCTTTTCTTTTCTTTTTGTTTTTCTTTTTGTTTGGAAGGCGGGCTGTTTCTTTTGGTAAAATAGCTGCAAACGGCGTCCAGTGTCCCTTACATCCATAGCACTCATCCACGCTTCTCCCCATTACGGTCGGGAGATCCTGAGACAGCGGTATTGCTTACTTCCTTTAGGGAAGGATAGACCTCTGCTCTGCCCCTGCTTGCTCTTTTTTGCTACTCCCTCTTCTGATGCTATCCTATCCCACTCCCTGGCAGCATTTTTTTATTTTTTTTAACTTTTAAGGGCGACGGCCTTTTGGTATTGTCATCGAGCCGAGTAGTCGCAGTAATTATCAGACTTATTTTTTATTCAGCTGATTCAATATCAGTATTCAAACGTTTGCCTGTTTATCAACAGTTCATGGGTGTACTGCAATCAGACTCGCTTTCTTCTTCAATCCGCATGCATGCAAACAGATGGCAAATCCAAACTGGTGCCAGGCGCCCACACAACTCAGATACAAGCTTGCTTCAGATTGGCTATGGCGCCTGAGCCCCTACACTTCACGTATCAACTCTGTATTCACATCAACTGTTCACACGCACTCAACTCTGGATCTCCCTAGATATCCCACGCGCACTCACTCTGTACCGCGCACACACACACACACTCGCTGGATACTAACTCTAACCTAAGGAGGCTATGGCTGCTCACTACTACTAACTCTGGATGCTCTATCTCCTTCACAGCCCACTTTGACTTCGGGCATCTGCAAACCACCTCGCACAAGACGCCTGGGCAGCGCTTCCGCATGGCTCACGCAGAATGAATGAATAGCTGGACGCTGCCTCTTGATTTATACTTCTGTAGGTCGCTGGTCTGCCCCCTTCCACCAGGCCCAGGGTGCACACAGTCCCACATGGTACTTGCTGACTGGACAAAGTGAGACTGGGACTGGATACCGCTGACTAAGAAAAGTTGGACTACCCACTTGCCCACTTGCCTCTGGTCTAACGCGAGCAACACTCGAAAGGCCACGTCCGGACCTTCCGGAAGTCTGTGGACTTGGCCTTTCGGGACTGTAGCAGCTACGACCTTGACCTTTCAGGACTGTAGCAGCTACGACCTCGACCTTTCAGAGTAACAACAACTATGACCCCTACACAGGTATGGCCCCTCCTTGACAGATCTACGGTTCAAGACCCGACAGCTACACAGACCTATGACAGACAACATTCAGCTACCAAAACACAGGTCACGGGTTCAAAACACACAGGGTCGACTTGATACTGTACACGGGTGAGGAAAGGTCTAGGTATCGAGCCCTGGGATCTGCATCTGTTACTGCAAAGGTGAAAACCGTTTCACTCCCGCTGGCCTAAATTCGAGGTCCTCCGAGAATAGTTCAGTCTAAGGCTGGACCTTTACCTTTCTTACCTCTCTCATAGGCTCGAACTACATCGGGAGAGGTCTCAAGAAGCTCTGTTCGTGTGAACCTGCGGTCGTCTTCTGGTTCCTGAAAAGAGAATCTGACTTTATACTGTTTTTGTGGACGACCTCTACCTCCTGTTCTAAACACATCTTCACCTACTATGCGGTCGTACCTCCCATCCATGTCCGGAGGTATCATGGATCTCCGTTATGGAAACTGTTAACTTGTGGTACAGGGCATCAACTTCGACACATGAAAAACTGGGTAGGCGTAGAGGTGCGCTGGAATCTCGATTGTGTAGGACGGTCCATCCTCTCCGCCCTTAACTTCTAAGATTGGCCATGGTCCTCAGTATGCAAGTAGTAATTTCTGCGAGATGTTTCCTCGGGGGCAAACTCCTTTGACTTGACCCAGACTAAGTCGCCTACTTGAACCTGTGACTGGCGACGGTGCTTATTGGCTTGTTCTATCGTCTTCTGTTGGGCCTTCCTGAGGTTCTTTACAACGATAGCTGTCTCTTTCTCGTGCTGTATCGCGAACTCCCTTGTATCGGGCGGTAGCCTCTGGATCTGATCTCAGTTCAGTCCTTCAAACGGTCTGAGTGGTCTAAAGGCCTTACCTAACTCGTTGGGAGTGCCACAGGTTGCACATTGTTGTCATATGCGCTGGCTACCTTTGGAAGCATCTCATCCCAATTGACTTGATCGGGTCTAATGTTCATTCTGAGAACTTGTTGCAGGATCTTGTTCATCTGTTCAGTCTGATCGTTAGTCTTTGGATGACGGCCAGATGACATCAACAACTTAAAGCCATAGACTCTCATCAACTCCTGCCAGTTCTGACTAATGAACGTGGTATCCCTGCCACGATGACATCAACAACTTAAAGCCATAGACTCTCATCAACTCCTGCCAGTTCTGACTAATGAACGTGGTATCCCTGCCACTAACTATCGGCAGTGGGAGACCATGCTCACTGGCCCAATGATAGAAGAACTTTTCTATGACTAAGTTTGTACGCGCCTCAGAAGGCAAGGGAATAAAAACTGCATATTTGCTAAATCTATCAACTAAAACCATGACTTGGCTCTTGCCATGCTTACTCCTGACCCCAACATCCATGAAGTCAATGGACACAAAGTCTCCGTGTCCGGCGGGAATAGGCAAGGGTATGAGAAGACCAAGAGGGGCTCGCGTAGTGGTCTTATTCTGTTGGTACACCTTGCAACTGCGTACATACGCTATGCAGCCGGCCTTCATACCTGGCCACGTATATGCGCGAATAAGGTTGGCTAACGTCTTCTGCCAACCAAAATGTTCCTTTGTGTCGTGACATTCCCCTAAGATTAGACTTCGGATCTCGTCATTACTGGGAGCGCACAATCAATCGGCTACATTAGTCTTCTCAAATAACAACCCAGTTGGAGTGCGGTAGTTCGGTTCAGACTCTGGAGACAATCTAACTCTTTTGAGAAGATCACTATAGATGGGGTCCTGCGCTTACGCTTCCTTGAGTTTCTGTTGCAGGTCTCTCCCTATATCTAGATAGTGAACTATCGCTCTAAAGTAATCATCCGTGACTACATTATACTTTTCTTTGACTGGCTTGAACTCAGAGTCGAACTGGTCTATCTTTGTGGCCCACCTAGTAAGCTTAGGTGTTATATTGGCCTGCGTCTTTAACCACTTCAGCGTCTCGTGGTCTGAGTACGCTTTGAAGTGTCTCCCAAGCAAGTAGTGCTTCCAGTGATCTAGTGCTTGCCTGAGAGCGTAGAGTTCCCTCTCATAGGTTGATGTCGCTACCTTCTTTGAAGGCATCCTAGCAGACATGAACTCTACGGGTCTGTACACATTGTCGTCATCTTACTCACACTTCTTCGTGTTGATCTTGAAGTTAGCTTCTCTCAGTTTTTCCAAGACCTGCCTCAGATGGCGCTCATGCTCTTGGAGGGTCTTACTAAACACTAAAATATCATCCAAGTACCACCAGTACGAATCTATCTAACCATGACCTAAACAAATCGTTCATACAGCGCAGGAATGTAGCTTGTGCATTGGTTAATCCAAAGGGCATCCCATATCTAGTCCTGAATGTCGTCTTGTATTGATCATCAGGATGTACCTCTATCTGATGATAGCCAGCCTTGCATCCGGTCTAATAGATCATCTATATTGGGCAGCGGTTTTGCATTCTTCACTGTGACGACATTGAGACCCCTATAGTCTATGCACATTCTAAGCTCTCCCTCCTTCTTGGGGACATAAAGAACAGGTGCTCCAAACGGAGACGGACTGAGCCTAATCCAACCCTTTTGTAGCAGCTCGCCTAATTGCTTGCGCAACTCCTCTAACTCCCTTGGGGACATTCTATACACGGCTCCTTTTGGAGTTCTATTGCCAAGCTCTATTTCAATGCGATGCTGGATCGGCCGCAACACTACTCCTGTAGGCGGCTTAGCCAAATATGTATCCTCTTCCAGTAGCTTGGCAATAACTGGATCAATGGGTTTCTCTTCCTTAGGCTCAGTGACACGCCTAACATAGGCTACAAAAACTTATTGCTCCTTCTTCACTAATTGAGCGAATGCGGGAGCATTGAGACAACAATGTGCTAGGGGGTTATCTACTCCTGACACATGAAACAGGTGAGCACTCTTAACTTCGCCTGATGGACTAGGGAGCCTACACTCGTGCTCTCTCAAGTGGAGTGTGTTCCCTGCTGCCTCTCCCCAGTCCATTCCTAGGACCATGTCAAATGGAAGGTTGTCCTCTACAAGGAGAGTCAGGGAATGGAGGACTCTCTGTACCTTCCCATCCTTCCCTAGGCGAAAGTATGTTTGGACTCCCTCTACGTAATCCTCGATTCGCATAGTGCGATTGTCTGCGAGGATGCTGACTATAGGGTCTTCTAACTTTTGGACCTTCAAATTCAGCTTTAACTCCTGCAATGCTTTTCTAGTAATATAGTTGTGAATGGCCCCACTATCTATAAGGGCCCCTACTCTTCCTCTAAAGACTTCTACATCTACTAAAACTAGTTGTCCTTCACCATCTTTCTTCATCTTGGCCCAGGCCGACATCCTTTCCTTCAGCCCCTATGCCAGACCTGTGAGGGAAGTGCCCAGAGAGAGTCTAACAGAAGCACCCTTTCAACAACTATCTAGGCACTGGCCAGCAATCTCTGCGATAGACACATGTGGGTTGGGAGTTTCTCTGTGGTGCGCGCTGTCGGCGCGAATACCCTTACAAGGGTATCC